CCCTATTTGGATGCTATTGTTTACAGGAGTATATTATAAACATCAAGTAGAACACACAAAACCAGAAAAGGGCAGATCTGTTAGGGCAAGACCACAACAGAGTGAGGCCAGGTGAGACCATCTTGGGATGGGAGGGAGGGAGTCTCGGTCCCTCCCCATCTGACAGCGGTGCTGCTGGTTAGGGTTGAAGTCTCTGATCAACCATTTATTGCAGTGTGTGTGAAGCCGATGAATATTTAAAGAAACAGCAAAGAGAGGAGAGATGACGAGGAGAGCTAGCATGACAATTCAGCCCATTAAATCCCGATTCCAGCACAGAAGACAGCTGTTTATGAGTACAACCGGGGATGGGCTGTGTTTAGAGTGCACCTTTCACCACTATGATTATGGTCACTAACAATAGAAGACCACTCAGGTTTGGGTGTGCCGATCCGGGCATTCTCAGAGGAGCATATCTGCCATCCAAATGAGGATGCTTGCTAATGTTCTAAATCTTCCAGCCCAGGATATAATTCTGCTTTATTTATTTTTTTTCAGTTCCAAGCGCATCGTGTCTCAGAAATACTTTTAGCATTAGGAAGAAAATATTATGTTTTAATTTTAATCATTTTGGATCATTTTTCTCGTTTAAGGCATAAGAGTTAGCATGCAAAGAGCATAATTAAACCAACCAATAAAGACCTTGATATTTTTGTGCTTCTGAGACATTTCATATGCTACGTGATGTGCTAGAATAAAATCAGTTCAGGGAGCATCCTGTCTTCATCTTTTTGTTTCCTTGAGATTTGATTACTCATTTGATGCTCAGGATGGATAGAAATGTGCAGAACCCCAAAATCATCTGGGCCTCCATCAGTCAGAGGTGATTTGTGTGGAGATGAAATGAGCTTGCTTCTCCAGCACGAGGCTCACAAACTCAAGATGCTCACGCAGTAGAGTCTCAAGGTCATGACCAAAAGAGATTGCAGCTTTGCCTGATTATTATTGTTTAATTCACACAGATCGCTGCAGGACGAAATACGTTTTCACAATCTAAAAAGGCAGTAAAAGCTTTCATAGGTTGCAGAGAGAGCTCTGCTCCACCAGACAAGATTTGCCAAGGATGTATCCCCCTATCTATTAGCTCAGGATATAAGTGATCGATAGTTCTGGGGCAAGGGTCTGTGTTCATCAGAGTTTAACGAAGCAGAGGGGTAGTATCTGCTCTTAGCTCCCCCTCAAAGGGGCCAGGACAGCATAGACTTTCCTGAAGTCATCCATAGGTCCAGCCCCGTGGGTTTTAATTACAATGTTGATTAGCATATATAATCAGGCAATGTTTATCTGTATTTACCTTTAAAGGTATCCACAGAAAATCCCTACCCTCCCTTGGTTCCTGCTTTATTTTGTCTGCCTTCTATAATACCCTCCCTCCACTTACTTCCAGTCTCCTACCAGCTGCAATACTCTGGAGAGCAGGCCCTGCACTTTGCCTGGGCTATACAATGGGGAAGTGTGGGTGAGCCAGCCCCAAAGTTGTGAGCATGGCAGAACTGTCCCCATTACTCATCTGTCTTGTGGTGGCATGGTGGGGGAGAGAGGTCCTGTTCCCCCATGCCTATCAATGCCTGAGACAGGTGGGAGGGCTGGCCTTGAAGTCGTAAGAGTGGGAAGGCTGTCCCTTTTCCTGGTCAGCTGCAGCACTCTGGAGAATGGCCCCTATACTATAGTTGGGCAACACAGCAGAGCTGGCCCAGGTGTAGGTGAGGAGACCCAACCCTGAGGGTGTGAAAGCAGAAGAACTGGCCCCAAACTTGCTCATCACTGAAAGGGGTGCACCCCCAGAGCAATGCAGGAGAGCTCACCCTGGTGGTCAGTACAAAGGAGGGCTGGAGGGCTGAACAACCCTGCAACTACCCAGGTTCAGAACCAGAGATAAGAGTTGGCCCACCCCAGCATCCACCCCATCTGATCCGCTGGAGCACATGAAGGGGCTGGTCCTGCAGACACAAAGCTGCATATTCCACAACACAGGGCAACAACAGCACACCCCAGATGAGTTCCAGGCCAAGTATCGATAGTGTAGTAGAAACCAGAGGCCTTGAACCAGACTGATGACTCTTTGCATTGAACACTTTCAAGAAAAGCTACATGGATAAAAGGGTTTACTGCGTGACCCTGGGTCAGACTACAACTTCCATGACAAAATTGAGTCTTCCTTCCTTCTTTTTCCTCTTCTCTTTTTTCCTTCTTTTTCTTTTCTTTTTCTCTTAAATTTTATTTTGTTTTGGGGGCACTTGAAAGGGCAGAGGGTGGCTATGAAGTCACGAGGTATTCAATGGGATGGGGATGCATTATGTAAAAGGCACAAAAAATAAATAAAAAGTAAAAAAAAAAGATAAATCCTGCCCTGGAACCTAGTGTCTCGAGCACTTCAAGCTGAGGCTCTGCGGTAGATCAAGAGTCTAATTCTTTGTATTAACCTTAAGTATTCCTGCCCGGTCCAGAACATATTTCAGAGTGGCTCAAAGCATCTCCGCACCACAAAAGCAGCTCCAAAGTTAAAACTTCACCCAGAGGAGACAGAGCTCTTGGAGCACATTGCCCCCAGGAACAACACAACAACCAGGGCAGAAATGACATTTCCTGCTTTACTCTGTCCACAGACCTTCCCAGCACACATGGCTTTCCTGAGAGATTGCTAGGAGTAGGTGACTGTGCATGGAGCTTGCCATGCCACCTCCAAGTGTCCTCAAAGACAGGACCATCACAGCTTGGCTGGACCTGTCCAGAGTGCTGAAACCTGATCTGATTGGAGAGAGAGTTAACATTTGAGAAAATGGTTTAAAAAATGCTGAGATGATTCTCAGAATTGGTTGATTCATTTCAGGGCTCCATGTGTCTGAATTCAATGTCTCAGCATCCTTACCCAGGAGTAGCATTCATGGGACCGAGTTCCTGTGTTCCCTGAGAACTGGGACATTTGTCTCATTGCGGTCATGATGCCACAGTTATGCGACACTTAAATAAGGAATGTTTCTCTGACTTAAAGCATTGAATGACTGATGACAAGCGCTGTTTCTCTGTAGCTTGAATGTATGTAAAATAAGTCTGCTTTTAATTTTATCCATGTCTGATAAGCATTTGGATACCGACCTACGTAAACCATGCTCAGAATGGCTTAGAAACACAATTTACAGGTCTGCACTGTACTAGGAAGAAACTAGAGACCTCTGTACTTACCTACTGAAGTAATATTTTAAGGCATTTTTTCCCCAGAAAGGATGAATTACATAGGTTGCCAGACCCAAAACGCAGGCAGCTGTAGTTCCCAGACACGTGTGTTTTCCTCTCTCGTTCTAAAGTTATTCCCATAGATCCACACTGGGGCTCTGGCTCTCGGCCATAGGCCAGTGTCTTTCCTCCTTGAGCCCAGGGAGTACTCCATCAGGGCCTCACCCAACAGGGTACACAGTGAGTGATACATAAACACGGCGTGTACTTTAACTTCGTTCTCTTTGAAGGTCCCGTCTTGTTTTTCACTAACCACCTCTTAGGTTTTATTCATAGTGAGAGAAGGAGGAAGGAAGGGAGGGAGGGAGGAAAGCAGAGAGGGAGAGAGGCAAGATCTTGATATTTTGATGCTTTTATATATTGTGTGGTGTGCTAGAATAAAATCAGTTCAAGGAGCATTCTGTCTCAATCTTTTCATTTAGTTGGGATTTGGTTACCTGTATGATACTCAGGATGGGTAGAAATGCTGAAGAGAGAGAGAGAGAGAGAGAGAGAGAGAGAGAGAGAGAGAGAGAGAGAGAGAGTATTAAAAGGCTTAGAAACCAGACTCACATGATACAGTGCTTTGTCATAAGGAATTATCCTTCCAGACATCCATAATTTAAGATGTTTATTTATTTAGTGCTTGAATGACCCAGAATGGTATATTGAGGTAATTTATATAGTTTCTCTTTGTCTCCTTCCCAGAACTACAACCAATACATGTATAAATGAACTCTAGAAGGCATCTTCAAAAACACAGAAAGATAAACACAGATAGATTAAAAAGAAATGGAGGGGAGGAAAGAGGGAAGGCAGGAAGGGAGAGGCAGTGATGGAGAGAGAGAGAGAGAGAGAGAGAGAGAGAGAGAGAGAGAGAGAGAGAGAGAGAGAGCGCTATCTTGAATGTCTAACATGGCCACGTGAGCTCTCCATGGAATCTCACACTGAGTAGACTTGGAGCTTGTGACGCTCTTGACGTTTGGTGGCTGTTCAGTCATCCCCTGCTCAACCCACTACAGAATTGGGACATTTGGTGAAGCAGCATGTGTATTCCATCAGTGGCTACTTGACAATTCCAAAGGTATGTTATATTTTGTGTTTGTCTAATATTGTGAGCTTATTACATAGTGCTATATCATAGCAAATCCTCCTTCATGTCCTTTATAATCTACCCTTATGCTAATTTTCATGCATATTGGTGCTTTATCCAATAGATAACATGTAAGGCAAGCAATGGATTAAGGATCACAGGGAGATCCAATATTTAAGAAGAGAGATTTAAGTTTAATTAAGATATATACATATTTAAGATTTATCAATGGAAATAGATACTCAATGATTGTGTTTGGAACACACTAATTAGCTTCCAATTGCCCAGGTCAAAACAAGTAAATCAAAAGTGTTTTACTTCCTGGATGATTCTGCCTCCTAAGTCTGTGCTCCTCCTGGTCCCAGCAAATATCAAACCTCAATGTGCCTTTAATTCTGAAAAGACTCTCCCATGCTGACTGGGGCCATTGGTGTCAGGCAACCTGTGAGTCCTGACACAGTTAGTCTCTGAAGTGGGAGGCCTGACCAGACAGAAGCTTTTATGTTTTATCTGCAGGCTCTGTAGGGTGTGGAAGAATCTGAGCTTGGCCCTAGGAGAGTGGTGTAGGAGAATTATCTGTATTCTGTCAATCATGTATTTTAATAAAACACTGATTGGTCAGGCAGGAAGTAGAGGCAGGGCGATGAGAACAGGAAAATGCTGGAAAACAAGAAGCCTATTCCTCCCAGTCCAGCCCAGACCACCGAGAAGCAAGATGTAACCTGCCCAGCTAAAAGGTACCAAGCCATGAGGCTAACATAGATAAAAATAATGGGTTAATATAAGCTACAAGAGCTAATAAGTAGCCTGAGCTAATGGGTCAATTAGTTTATAATCTTATGGAGTCCTCTGTGTGATTTTCTTTGGGGCTTGCTGGCTGTGGGATACTGGGTGGGACAGAAACCCCACAGAGCTGGCCCTCATGTTACAGGAGAGCTCACATAGAGAGTGACCATCCCATTGGACAGCTTATCCAGTAACTAACAAAGAACTTGGTACTTCCTGAAAATGCATGCCTTTTCAAGTTCACGTATGAATTAATTGCTTGTGGAAATAGCTCTCTGAGACCTCTGTGCATGCTTCTCTGAACATCACACACGTTTACAAGGGTCCCTGAGATGAGTCCCAAGAATAGAAACTGAAGGTAATCCGTTCTCTAAAACATGGTATGAATTCTGTAACGTGTACAACAGTCATCTGCTGAGCTTAGAGACATCCATCACCTTGCATTCGCTCCCTTGGACGCCTCTTAAGCAGAGGATTTGTGACACTTGGCAACTTTTTCCTACCCATTTACAAATCATTTCCATCCCTCACTTTATTATCTTACCCAGAGTCAACTTGTTCTCTTGGCACCATCAGTCTGACTGACTGGTGAGGCTTCCTGGGGCACAGTTCTAATTTATGCAGACATCTACCCAAGGCATCTCAATCACTCACAGCTAGAAACAGGGTTGGAATCATCAGGAACCGCTGTTTTTGTCACACATGCACATACGTGCGCGTGCACACCCACACACCCACAGCCACGCATGCATGCATGTGCACACACCACACATGCGCACACATACATGGACACACTTGCACATATGTGCACATATACACGCACACAACGCACACATGTGCACACACATAAACATGTGTACACATGCACTGCACACAGCACACATACACATAAACATGTGCACACAGTACACATGTGCACACATACATGCACACGCATGCACACATGCACACAACATACACACATGCACACACTACACACACATCTAATATATATGCCACACATGTATGGTAATTTCAAAGAAAATCATTGTAGTGACAGATAGGACAAATGTATCAATGTCAGATGAAAACCCCTAAGTTTTCATGACCACAAAACTTGGCCATATACCTGGCAAGACTACTCAGTGGGTAAAAGTACTTGCTGCACAGGCTTCATGGCCTGAGTTGGAGCCCAGTAATTCATTGTGGAAGGAGAAATCTGACTTCCCAAAGTTGGTCTTCTGATCCCCACAGGCAGGCTGTGACAAGCATGTGCCCACCCTCACACACACGCCATCATTAATAACAGCAGCAGCAGCAACAGCAACAGCAACAACAACAATAATATCAGTCTCAGAAAGTGCCTGGCTGGTATAATTTGATGTCCCTGCGATAGAGACATTGAATTATCAGCCATGGATGAAAACCCATTAGGTGAGAACCACCGCATCCATATAAAACTCTTTGCCCTGTCCATCTGTGGTGTCTGTGCTGATTTTCAGGATTTTCAGACTGCAGGGGGTTTCCCAGGCATATCCGTGCCTAGGATAAGGAGCTACTAAAATTTATAAGCTATTTGTTAGTGGGTTCTAAAATAACACATAAATATTAATACTGAAGGAAAGAAATACCTAATTCATGTAGATATCAAGCAGTAAAAACATTAAGTAAGGCCCTAATGGAGAATGCTGTGAAATTCTGTTTAATTATTTATGTGACTATAAATTACCTTCTGCATGCCAGGACACAACAGAAGCAGCCATTAAAAGTCAAGCGGCAGTGGAAAACCAGAAAATACATGAAAAGCCATCTCTAAAAAGGGACAAGTGACTTAAAGTCATAAAAGTTGAATTTAGTTTTAACGTCAGGTCAACATGATCAGCTTCCCTGACAATACCAACATGGCACCAACTAAGGCAAGGAGTCAGCCTTGGATGGGGCAGAGACCAGACTCTCGCAGGGCTTTCCTGGCAACCAGCTGACTGGTTAGGATACTTCTGGCTTGTTAGAAAGATGTGCAGTGGAGATGTACAGGACGTTGCTATGCAGTCCTGGCTTGATGATCCCCCAACAGAACACGAAGGGTCACTGGCATCCAGGTCCACTCAGGCATCTCACACAGCCTCTCTGTAACCTTCCTGTTACTTCAGGAACCTTGCCAGCTCCACAGGAACATGGAGCGTGGCCTCCACCACAGAACAGAGGGAAAATGACCAATGCACTGGAGGCTATTCCACCTAGAGGCTTCTGCCTGATGAGTCTATTGCTTGTGTCTTTCAGTATCCTCTCTGATGGGTATAAGTGAACATTAAGGGTAAAGTTGGGGATCTTGGAGGTAATACCGGAGTGAGTATTCTCTAGCATAACTATAAGGCCCCTAAGAGGAACATTTAGTATGAGAAAGTCAGTCAAGCAGCAGAGGAACTTCACACTCCCTAGCCAAGAACAGAACCCTGATGTACCTCTATGAGCTGATTGGCTCAAATGTTATGCAGATAAGTGAGTGAGATGTGCTTTTTTTTTTAAATGATGGGAAAATCATATTGAAGTCACTAAAAATTTAGCTGAATTTTACATCCCCAGAGTGGTTGTGTTAAGTTTAATTATGTTGTTTTTCATTTGCCTTTGGACAGCTCTTACCTGCAGATGTGCGAATTAACCAGTTGTGCTGTAGCTATTGTGGGAAAATATTAAATCATGTCTCCCTGAAGCCCAGCAGATGTTATGGCCTCGGAGAGAAGAGGAGCTGAACTCAAATTTCTAGAGGAGGAGATGTTGACCCTGGGAAGGTCTCTAGCAGTGAGAACAGGAGTGGCTGGTCCTTCAGTGACTGGAAGGAGGAGGGAGGAGGCAGGTGCCACAGGTCAAGGGCAGCACCTCAGGTCTGACACTGGAGGGCAGTGACAGGAAATGCCTAACAGCCAAGATGGGAAATGCCTGAGTCGCTAGACTTTCTCTTATCATTTCTGAAGCAGACGAGGGACACCAGGGTTACTTAGGGGGTGAGTTTCCCACCTGTGAGGGCTGTGTGGAACAGGAGACAGGCATACTGAGTCCAGAGATGTCCATCAAAGAATAAGGCTATAGTCAGCCTCCTGTCTTCTCATCTGATTCTGAAGATTTGGGGGTAGCCTCTTGTCTGTACTGAGGTGCAGCCGTCTGGGAGTCTGGGAGACAGGGTATGTGACCTTCCATGTGCCACTCAGCTCAGTAAGACTAAGATCTCCGGTGCTGGGGATGGGATCACAGAGATGGGTCCCTGAAGCCACAGGACTGTCAGCCTGGTAGGTGATTCATCCCCACCAAGACATATCAGTCACCAGAAATAAACCTTTACCACGCAGTCGCCTGCCACCACCAGCACAGGTATGCAAGCCGACATCAGCTATACAAGAGGCCCCTCCACAGGAAGCACACCCATGGGGAGCTGGGCTCCTTCAGGCTCTGGGAGGGCAGAGGGTTCGCATTGTGACCAGCACATGAGATAAGGACAACTGCTGATTCAACTTGGCTGTAGCAGTAGATAAAGTTTCAAGTCAGGAGTTTGGGAAAGTAAAGTGTGCTGATGACTCTCACTTCCAGCCCCACCCCCACCCAGACAAAGGCACAGATATTCCAGGCACGTCTTTGGATTTCTATGCACTGCATAAGCGAGAAAGCAACCGAGCACCTGCCTGGTGCTTCCAGAATAAACTGTGGTTGTTACAGGTGCTTCCAGAATAAACTGTGGTTGTTAGTTTCCGAGGCGAGGGGTGGGCTGCTGATTGTGTCAGTTCATCTAAGTGTGAGGCCGGCTTTTTTCCTTCAGATATTTTAAACTTCAGAACATTAAACTGTGGAAGATAATAGTTTGAAAGAAAGAAGAGAAGACCCATTCTTCACAAGAAAGCTGCCAAGGACAAAGTTCTCAGGGGCGGGGATGAAGAACGCAGGATCACACAACATCCCTGCCTCATACTGGACGGTTCCTGGATGCATTCCCCTACTGCTCTTCCCTATTGTCTCTCACAGTGTCTCCCTTCTCTGAGTCAGCTTCCGACTGCACACAGCCCTGGACAGATGCCTTGAGTTCCCACACGCTGCTTTGGCTTCCGGTTTCCACCTATTGCAGGACATGGCAGCTGGGGCGCTGCTACTCTACAGACTGGCACTACAGGGATGGGGCACCCTCTCTATCACCCCTGGAGTTGCAGGTGAGCTCCATGAAAAAGGTCAAGGTCAGCAGAGCACTTTCCTGGAACCTGTGATATCTTGGGTACCTGTCCATGTCCCTGAATTTAACAGTCATCTGGCCTTCCGTTATTGCTCAGGTGTACTTGGTTTAAGTCCGTGCCTCTTTCAGACACCACTAGCGTCTCTCAATCTTTATCGCTAGACCACATTTCTCATCTGAGACCAGAGTTCTGAAGGTCAAGAGGCCTCTTCTGAACTTGGAAAAGGAGCTGCCACGCCTGTCCATCACTGAGCCTTGGTTACTGTGCCCTAATTTGTCATTCCCCAAACACCAGGATCTACAGCTTCTCTTTACTGTCTGTCTCCCTCCCCTGCCTAAGCTCAGCAAGAGGGTAATATGAAATTCTGAGATTATCCGGGAATATTCCTTTAGGACCAAGTAAGAGAAGTAAATGCTGGAGCAAATTAATTGAAGACACTGCCTTTTAAGTTTCAATCGTCGGGTGTCCTAGGACAGTCCTCAGTGCCAATAAATCCTCAGGAAACGGTTACAGACCCGCTGTCCCAGGGGTCCACTTGACATTTCCACTTGGATACCTCAGACACTTCAAATTCAGTCCCAAATTGAGTTCACGGGGGCTCTCTGCTATTTTTATTCTGCTCAGTTGTAAGTCAAGGGCACTGCGGTCTATCTAGTCCCCAAGTCCAGACAGCTGGGAAGCCCTGCACCGTTCACTGTTATTCCTACATCTTCTCAGACATCATCCATCAGTTTGTGGATGTGGCATCTGGGCCCAGGTTCCCATGGTAGATCATGATGCTTTCTGGCATAGGCTTTCCTCTGACTGGCCTTTCTCCGGACCCCCTTCCACAGAGTGGTACACTTACTATTAAGTTGAGTACTAGAGAAAGTCGTATTATGTACTGTACTGAGGCCACACCCTGCACATGCCAGGCAAGTCCTCTGTTACTTTGCTACAGCCCTAAACCTCTTTTTATATTTTATTTTGAGTTATGGCCTCACTGAGTCTCGCAGGTTGGTGTAGAACTATAGGCCCAGCTTAACAGTTTTTAAAGAAAAATATGATTAGGAGTTTTCTTTCCTTTTCCTTAAGTCCCCAAGTGACTGCCAGTATACCTAGAATGTAGTCAGATCTCTGAAGGGACGGAGGAAACCCTACAAAAGCGGCTCTCTTAACTGCCTGCATCATGCCCATGCCTGCATGGTGTCCACATCTGCATGGTGCCCATCCTTGCATCATGCCCACACCTGCATTATGTCCACATTTGCATCATGTCCATGCCTGCATGGTGCCCACACCTGCATTGTGCCCACATCTGCATCACCCCCATGCCTGCATCATGCCCACATGTTGAAATAGGAGCGGCAGGGCTGCGTCCCCGGCACCCGGCCGCCCGCATGGCTAGCTTATGCCCGAAATAATTACAGGGAAACTGTATTCTTTCAAACACTGCCTGGTCCGGCTAGTTCCAGCTTCTTATTGGCTAGCTCTTACATATTGTTCTAACCCATTTCTAATATTCTGTGTAGCCCACGAGCTAGCTTACCAGGGAGGATCTTAACCTGCGTCTGTCTGGAGCAGGAGAATCATGGCGACTCACCCTCAGCTTCTTTTTCCCAGAATTCTCTTCTGTCTACTCCGCCTACCTAATTTTCTGTCCTATGAGGGCCGAGGCAGTTTCTTTATTATTAAGAAATCACTCCCCCATCACCCACATCTGCATCACCCCCATGCCTGCATCATGCCCACATCTGCATCACCCCCATGCCTGCATCATGCCCACATCTGCATCACCCCCATGCCTGCATCATGTCCACATCTGCACCGTGCTCACGCCTGGCCTGCCCATTCCGCCCCAGGGACTGATGCTTTCGATTTTTATCAGTGGCTTTTGTTTTGCTGGTTTGTTTTATCTGTTTGGTGATTGATGGATAGCTGAAGAGACGGCTCCACTGAGCGTCACCTGACACCACAATGCATCAAGTCTGGCAAGCTCCTCTTCTGGGCTGTCTTCCTTACCAGCTGCAATTGGTCTAAGGCAGCAGATCAGCTTCCCAACTGGCTCAGGTTCCAGCAGTCATTACAATGGGCACTCGGACCCTCACCTATGGAAAGGTGCCATTGCACAAATGGCCTTTCTGCGTAAGTTTTTTCTTTATTTATTTTTCTTAAGGATTTGATCACTTTTATTCTATGCTTATGAGTGTTTGCCTACATGTATGTGTGTGTGGGGGGGCAGAGGTTAGAAGAGGTTAGAAGATCATGGTGTGGGTCCTAGAAACTCAACCTAGGTCCCCTGCAGCATCATCAAGGGCTCTTTAACTACTGAGCCATCTGTCCAGGCAAAGGTTCCCATTTCTATTTACTCTGAATGATAAATTCCATTAAAGCCAGGAAAGGAACCATGTTCCTCCAACGTAATCCTTTGATCGCTTTAATGAGAAGAATAACTGCTTTATTAATGAGCCATGCTTTGTATCTGGAAGTGTTGATCAATTATGACACAAGGTCATGGCACTTTTCAATACAGAGGAAAGCACTCCCCTCTGCTGGCCTTCCTGCCATGACTGCCACTCTCAGCCCAGAAATGCACAGACCAGTAGCTAAGCTGGTCACTGACAACCAGGACTCCGCACCGGAAGTGGATGGGTGGGAATGGACATCTAACTGCTGCTGCTGTGTGGGCATGCAGCCTAGGGCAGTTCCTCGATGACTACAACGCAGTGGCATTTGCACAGAGGTCATACTTTATTTACAACAACCTCAGGCAGTCTTTATCATCACACACAAATGTTAGAGGTGGAGCTTGCGGACCTGAGTGATTACTTCCCTGAGTGGTTTCTAAATTTCACAAACAGCTTTTCCTTAAAAAGCATGGGGTAATGAAAAGGGCCCCTCCCTCCAGGACAGGGGTGTGGTGTTTCTTAAAGCACCATTTGCAATCAAATGAGAGGTGTGAATGTCAAGACCGAGGAGTGTGAGCGTCTCTATTTTAATCCTTTTTGTTGCTGTTCAGAGCACACCTGTTAAAGTGCTACCTACTTAGTACACTTCACTGCTCTACTTGTTGGGAAATTCTGACGGCATTGCAGAGGGTCCAGAGGAGAATGAAGGCACCAACCAATCTCTGCATCCCTTCCTGCCTGGGGTCACACGTGACCGACTGTGTCACACTCCCACTGCCCTGTCCTCCCCACTGTGATGGACTATGCACCGGTGAGCCATGAGCCACAACAAACCCACTGTTTAAGTGCCTTTGTCACGTCAATGCAGCAGAGACTGCGGTGGGTGGTCTGAGCTCCATGGTGTGTACCTATCATGTCCACCGGGCGAGGCAGGGCTGGCAGTGACAGGAGAAGGGAACACAGGACCTAAAAGGATAGGGGTGATGGAAGATGAAAAAAAAAACCACTTCAAGGGAACCAAAGACAAACTAAAAGGTGATTTCTGTGAAGATCTGAGAAAACAGCTAAAGATTTTCGAGGAAAAAAACTAGAGAATGTAAGCCCCTTCTTAGGGAACTTGGCTGTGAAAAGAAGAACGTCCAAGTCAGGTGGGCACATGCCACAGTCTCTCTGTGATGTGGTCCCAGCGGGCGCTTGTCCCAGCCTCCACTGTATGCCTCAGGGTCCAGCCTCAGGCCTTGGATTTGCCTTGCTTGCCCCCCTCGTTCTTACTCTTCTTCCTGCCTACAGAGGCTGCCTGTTTGCTGCTGGTGTTTGAACATATTCTTGGGTATCCACACACCCACCTATCTCATTTCTGCTTGAATGATGAATCTCAAACCACTGATCTTACTCCAAACCTGCCTCTCCCTCTGCCACCCACCCTACCTCACTGAATGGGTATCGCAGTCTTCGAGTGACTCACCCCCATTTCAGTGTGTCATCTTAGGTCTTCTCTTCATGACATACCTACATTTGAGCACCTTTTAACACATGTGTCCAGGTTTCTCTACCTTCATCCCAGCCACCTTGGTGGAGGCTCCTATCACATCATTGGTCCAGATTCCTTCCGGAGGAGAACTTGACGCTATCATCTTCCCTCATCCACACAATGACTGCTCTCAGCACATCTTCCTTCAGGTGAGGCACACCTCTGTCAGCAACCCTCCATCCTTCTCATTCTTTTAAGCATAAATGTTTAGGCCCTCACAGGGCGAGCCCTTGATCTTAATACCCTATGACTTCCTTCTACCCATCCCTCACTCTGCTTCCTTCTACCTGAGAATGTTTACACATGTGTTCATGCTTCTGAGATCTTCCCTCCCCAGACACCCCCATGGCCGACATCCTAGGTGTTTGGAACTGACACACAAATATTAACCGCCATAAAGAGAGTCTCTGGCTGCTTTCAGAACACAAGAATCTTGCCCCGTCACTACAAAGCTCAGCACCAGAAGCTTGTTCTTTGTCCACATGGTACGTTCCACGTCCCGTTATCTGCTTCTTTGTTGCTCACTTTCGCGCTTACGTTCCCAGTTCCCAGAGAGCACAGTGATTGCATGATTTACCACTTCATTTTCAACATCCAGAACAATCCTGACCCATAGGCCAGAAGGTTTGTTTAAACCTAATTATGATATTTTATATGGAAACGGCATATAGAGAAAAAACTAAAAATGCTAATATTTTCAAAAACTGTCTTTAATGAGTCAAAAACTGTGGAATGAGAAAGCTAATGGATTCAGAGAGCAGCAGTTCTGAGGAGAATCTGTTGCTCTGCAATGTGCTTGATGTCCCGGCACCCCTCTTGTTGGTGATTTGGCAATGGCATGTGGGGTGCTGCTCCATCTATCGGTTAACTTGCACATCCATCTGCTAGAGCGTTTATCCCACCGGCATGTCCAATACTGTAGCAAGGGTTGTGATTTATGAGTTATTTTCTTACGTGGCCCGAAAGAATAGGCATTAGCTGGACAATAATGACAGGAGACTGCAATGACAACAATGACAAATAGGGGTGTCTTTACCCCCGGCATTTTATGAACACATTTGCACTTCACGTGGTCGGAAGGACCCACACACCCACTGGAAGTAGCCTAGCAAGATACATGAATGGCTTGCTTGTTCAGAGATAACCTTTTATTAGATACAATCCAAATGGCAGCTAGGAGGGAAGACAAGATTCAGGGCCTTGGGTGTTTGCAACCTGCAGCTATACACAGAGAGGGTAATGGGGAGAAAGAGCATGAGGCCACGAGGCTTAAGGCCCCAGGATCATGTGTCTCAGATACGGGACTGATCTCCCGAGCAGAGGGCCAAGATTAAAATGTGGAATGACTGACTAGTCAGCCTTTCTTTCCAGCCTGTTCAAAATCTGCTGCTGAAGGTGAGATGCAAGACAGATCTCTGGGATGCTAATTGGCTCTCTTCTCAGATTGTCGGCTCTCTGAATAAAGCACAATTTAGATTCCGCTCCTGTCTCTCCTGGTTGGCATTTGAAGTGACAGGCAGCACGAACTTTGGTGTTCTGGTTACAGAAACACGCAGTGGTGGCGAGTGACGCTGCTGTGATTTGGGGGCACAGAATACAAGCTCGACTTTGACCTTGGCTGAGTCCCTAAGCACACCCGCCTCTGTTCCCTGTCCTGTAAAATGGGAATGTGACTGTTAGGGCTTACTACTCTTCTCTGACAGTTCAAGCTTCAGAATATTACAGACCTTAGAGGAGGAACACGGTGCGAATCCCATATAGTACACCTCCACCCCAGGGTCCCGTCCAAGACTTGACTATGTCTGCAGTGAACCATGTGGATCCTCCATCAGCTGAGATGAATTAAGAATCCACATTGTCTCCTGCCAGGATTTGCCTTGCAGCGTTCAGGTCAGACAAGTATTGTCTCCAAAGGAGGCAGAGACCTTAGATTTCATCTTAATGCAACTAACGTATTAAAATGTCAATTTTCACAAGATGAAAATTTCATTTTATTTATGGTATTAAATAATATTCTATTATGTTTTCCTCAAGTTAAGCTATCTTCTTCAAAAAAAAAAACTGTCTTGCTAAACCTCTTTCTTTATTTCCATCATTCCTGTGAGGCCCTCGGCTCTTGATGGTAGTTTTATAGTGGGAGAGTCAGGAAAGGTGAGGAAAGGGCCGTCCCTCTACAAGAGGCCAAGTGGCTGCAAGGGGAGGGGTGGAGGGAAGAACCCATCCATGCCTATAACGGACTGCAGTTTAGAAGCCCGTGGCGGGGTGGAGCTCTCCAAGTCTAAGGAAACGACCTTGACTACCCAGCTGCAGACATCTGCTGGGGCTGCTGATGGTACCAAGAGATGTGTGTGCACCTTTCTGAGAGAAACCAAAGCAAAGATCAATAGCTCCTTCTTATGGTTCAGATTTCTCAAGTAGAGTCAATTAGAGCCAGGGCAGCAGATGGTCTCACCATTAGGGATAAGAGCTGTGGAACTGGCTTTTATGTCAAGAATGCTTGATTTGTTACAACTGTCAACAGAGTCGAGAGTGGCCGACTCTTCAGTGAGCAGTCAATTGCCTGGGTATCTGCTCAGGTAATGTCTATTCGAGTAATTGCCCCTTCATTTAGAGTTCTAAATATGGCAGCTTCTTAGAGCTAGTGTCCTTAAAAACAGCGTGCTCTAGAGCCAGAGGACAAAGATGTCTAGAGCAGGCCACCAGGCTGTGACCGGCCATCAGATAAAACAAAAGTTTGTAAGAACACGTGTATCAGTGCCCATACCAATTGGCTCAGCTATAGATTGTGGAACAGATTTATTCCAAATTTTGAGGAAAGAAAAATCTCAATCTAAGTTTTAAAAACTAAACAAATGAACCAAATTAGCCAATGAAGGAACCGTGAAAACAATGTATTTATGTATTTAAAAAACAAAAAGAAATTACTTCAAAACCCATAAACTCAATATTGTTCAATTTTCTAAGAGGTTTGAACATGGGGATGGCTAATTTAATACTTTGATAGCAAGTTCATACTCCCAAGCCCGAAGCTTAGCTGCTCTTCCTGCTGACTGGCCCCTGAGTGGACAGCACAGATGATTCAGGCTAAGTTTAAAGGAACAATTGATCATGCCCAACACTCAAAGTGTGCAAAGCTCCAAAGGAAAGGCTTTCTGTTGACTTTGTTTTCATGACTGGGTCCACATGGGTGGCAAGAAAGGATTCGGGTATCTATCAGCACGTGGATATGGCATCCTTTAAGGTTTCTTCACACTGACATTAAAAAACCAGGTTGGCTCTGTTTGGAAATGTACCCTTGTTTTGAATGCCTTCCTCGCCCCTGGTCTCAGCTTCTAATAGCTCAGCCTAACCTTGCTCATTCTGCTTCAAAATGTATTTCAAAGTTGGCACCACTAATCCTACACTAGCATTAATCCCCACAGGGCAAGTGGAAACTTTAACCTTTAGTTGTGTTGAGACTCAACAATGACAACAATAGGAGAATCTACCACAGAACTCTCCTTAGAAGGAAAACTGTAAATATCTTCCACCTGAAACACGGGCACAAAGAGCATCTTCACCCTTTCAGCAGTCATAAGCACAGTCACGGCGGATGGGCGATTGTGCGCTTCCCCTTTCTCATCTCCTTGGCTGGGTGTCGGCGTCTGTGGTCTGCTCATGAACTGTCATGAAGCAGAGTTTCCCATCAACGGGCCAGTGGCCTCAGGTCACCATTTCCAGAAGACGGGAATACTTGGATTTCAGGCCACCTGGGTGGCTTCCTACTCTTTCATACATAGACAGCCCCAAGCTGTATCCCTGCTCCTTCAGCTCTAAACTGGGGACAGTAAAATAAATGACAGTATGCTGGTATTGAAAACCCCCTTTACATGCAGTACTCGCAATGCACTCCAGAGGGGTGCACACGCTTACTGCTTATTATTACTAAGATATTGAAAATACTCATGAGCCATCATAAAAGATAAAATTGTCACATTCGAAATGCCTGCCTTTCTTGGAGAGTTTGATGTTTTTCTTTCAGATTTTATTAAAGAAATGAGAAATGAAAAACACGTGTGCCCCTCACTGTTGTGAACGATATAAGGCTGTTCTACTGGATGCTAGTGCAGTCTGTGATTTCTGCCTTGAAGAAAGCCATTGGAGCATTCTCGGTACATCCGCTCCCCCACAAAGTACTTAATACAGCTCAGGATCTGATGGAAAACGTTCCACTGCAGGTCCTCGGTACCTCTCTACTGCCATCCTAAGACAGTACAGAGTTGTACCGGGAGCACTGGACCATATGTATGTATAATTAAATGTGTGTGTGTGTGTGTCTGTGTGTGTGTGTAAATGGAACAACTTCTATGAGAGAGTACAAGGCACCAGCACTATCCAGGATCTCTATTGCATTTTATGGGGCCAAGAAGACAATGAAAATGTCCCTTTGGTCAGCATCCATTTCGTATATCCTGAAATGCCTGTCTCCTTCTGATCCGAATAAACAAGGATGGCCTGGCCTACAGAGGCAGCAATCCTTCTGAGATACTCGTCCTCACATGGACATTCGAAGCCTCTGTGAGCTTCCTGCTCTAGCTCTGCCAAGTTCAATTCAATATGCCATGGCTACCAAAAGTGGCCATACAAAATGGCACCACCATTATCCTATCATAAGTACCAGCTCCATACTATGCCAGGTTAAACTCCCTCTACTGTTCTTAGCAAAGGCCAGAAGCCCTTTCACTCGCTCTCTAACTCAGTCTGTCACTGGCAGGAAGCCTTGCATTGGCCTTGGGGACTTCATCCCCAACACTCTGTCAGGGCAGCTCCTGCCATGTGTCTGTCTGCATTTTATCTGCTTCATCCCTCTTGAATTCACCCTCCTGTAGGTCATTTGTGATGTCTTTTCCACCCTGCATACAGAGTTCTTTCTCCTGTGTGCTAAGTAGGAATACCCTGTTAATACCATTGTTAGCAGGGCACCCACTGGTTTCTTAATTGGAGCCAACTGTAAGCCCTTTGAGGTCAAGAGCAGGCTGTCTTCATCCTCATAACCTTGTCTTCCTGCTTATTATTTTATTTTATGTATATTGGTGTTCTGCCTGCATGTATGTCTGTATTAGAAAGTCTGACCCCCTGAAATAGGAGTTACAGACAGTTGTGAGCTGCCATGTGGGTACTGGGAATTGAACTTGGGTCCTCTGGATGAGCAGTCAATGCTCTTAACTGTGGAGCCATCTATCTAGACACAAGGATTACTATTTTTAAGATCAGATGGCAAAAGACTTCCTGCAATAGAGTAACATTAAAAGTTCATTAAATCATTGAGATTAAGTGAGAGGGTGAGGAAAAACTCAAGAGTTTATTCATCTAGCAGTCCCGACAACCTACACTGTGAAGTACTACTGCGAGCCTTTTCTGAGCAGATGTTATGGGGACCTGTAAGGATTAGCGTCATGCTTAAGGAGCTCCTTAGAATGTGATGTGTGTTTTGCTAATTTATTCACTCCTAATTCATGAACTTAAAGAGGCTCAAGCATTTCATAGCTGCTGGGGCTTGACGGAGAACGGCCTCCACAGGCTCATTTATTTGAACACTTGATCCTCAGTTAGTGGGAGGATTAGGAGGTGTGGCCTTCTTGGAGTTGGTGTACAACTGGGGAAAGGGTTTAAGGTTTCAAAACCCCACACCATTCCCAGTCTCTCTCCCCGTCCTCCTCCCCCTCAGCCTCATGGATGTCTCAAGATGTACGCTCTCGGCCACTGCTCCAGTGCCACACCTGCCTGCTGCCCTGCTCCCTGCCATGGAAGGTCATGCACTCACGCTCTGGGATCGTAAGCCCAATAAACTCTTTCTTCTATAAGTAGCCTGGTTCGCAGTGTTTATCGCAACAGCTGAAAAGCAACTAAGACTAAGACTATGTCTCTTGCAGGTGTAAGCTCACCTTTGGTTTTGCACACTGCCACTGACTAAAATGAAATTCTTTGAGCCCACCTTTCTCCCAAGACTATTAGCCCAGAAGTAATTCCTTTGTGTGCAAAGAAATCAGATTTGTGACAAAAACCAAAAGAGTTCAGTGTAACTGACATTTTGAAATCCATTGTCCAAAGCCAGAGTCCCATGAAATTGTGTGTATCTCTCATTTTGAGGAGAAAGTAACAGCAAAACAATACATATTTGTGAATATCTAAATTTGCCTGATTATTGGAAATAAACAATAACAAGAAAAGCAGACTGTGAGGAGAACTGACCTACAGGTGGTGCATTTCAGGTTTGCTATAGGAGGATACGTCGAGAGAAGGGTGGTCAACCTGGCTGAGGCAGATCCTCAGACCCCGAGAGCACTGGTTCTCCTCCAGGTACAGCAGCTGGGATCCACAAGGTAGGAGGTGGGAGGTGCTGTGACGAGCAGCAGTGGCGTCTTCTGCTCCCTCTTTGCAGTAGGGGAAACACAGACCACCCTTGCAAACACTGGACACACAGGAGATGACACAACTCACATTAATGAGTTGGCTAATGTGTAATCACTGACGTATCACCTAGTGCTCACTGGGCAGAAGCAGGGAGAAGACGTTTAGTTACTGTGTGTGTCGACTGATTTTGGGTGGGGTCCAGTGGATTCTTTCACATGTGCTCCTACTGGTGTAAAGTGTTCTCACAATGCTATTCTCTGGATGCTTGTGCATCCCCAAATCCATGCACTGACATCCTATTTCCAAGATGGTGGTGTTATTGGGAGGCATCTCTGGGAGGCAGTTAGGTAGGTCATAAGCAGAGCCCTTGATGTGGGATGCCCCTCTGTATACTGTGAATATGTTCTATTACCGCTGGCTAATAAAGAAGCTACTTTGGGCCTATGGCAGGACAGAATAAAGCCAGATGGAAAATCTGAACAGAGATACAGAGAGAAAGTAGAAGGAATCAAAGAGATGCCATACAGTTGCCAAAGAAGAGAGATGCCAGAACTTTACCCAGTAAGTCACAACTTTGTGGCGATACACAGAATAATAAAAAATGGGTTAATTTAAAATGTAAGAGCTAGCTAGGAATATGCCTGAGTCATTGTCCAAGTAGTGTTGCAATTAATACAGTTTCTGTGTGATTATTTCAGGTCTGGGCAGCTGGTAAACAAACAAGCAGCGTCTGCCTACAAGCTATCACCTCTGAGGTTAGTGCCCTGACAACAGAGGCCCCAGGGCTGTCTCTGCTGCTTTTACACTGTGAGGTGAAGGGGGGAAAAGTTCTTTGTATAAACCAGACATATGACCTCACAGGCCCCAGATCTGCCAGCATTTTGAACTCGGACCTCCCAGCCTCTCCAGCTGTGAGAAATGTGAGATTGTAAGTGTGTGGTGTGTTGTCACAGCAGCTCGAGTGGACTGGGATGGACTCCCTCCTTTTTCTTTCCTTTGTGACACTGGGCCTACAGTTCATAGCAAGCAAGTTCTTTTTCACTGAGTTGTACCTCAGCCCTGGATCTAACACACACACACACACACACACACACACACACACACACACTTTTTAAAATGTATTTATTTAGTTTCCTTTCCTGACTCTAGCTTGCCAAAGAGTTCAGTCTGGCTCCTGATCATTCTAAGATAGTTCTGTAAGCAGACTAGCCCATACTAGGCTTTCCTAGGCCTGGTTACAGATGGAATAACCTTCATGGGCACCTGGGGTCTTGGCTCTTGCTCTCAGAAACCTGGTAAGCCACAATGATCCACCAAGTTTTCCATTAATCTGCACAAATGGGCAGCAGGTGCCCCTTTTGCAACATTAGTAGTGGTGAGTCCAACATTGCTCATGTAAGTGGTGAAAGTCTCCCAGGAACGCTGTTTAGTGGGTCAGAGGCTGCCATCCATTCATTGCCCGTGCTGGGGGATGAGAAGGGCTCAAACCCCATCACTTCTCACACACATCCTCATCTCCAGGAACATGTGTCTGGGTCCTGGTCCTTCCTCTGTGAGCTCCTGGCCACACTGTGAGTCAGGGCATCCCACATTTTAATGTCTCATGTATCGGTAAATGGAGAAGTTCTGTCTGGGTATGATCTTTTCCATGTTCCACAGCATGGTTGACTGGCTACTGTAGCTCCTGTCTGTTGACAGCTTTAGCAGTCTGGGTGGGAGAAGTGTGCTGAGCAACCAATACATGAGAGGCAGTGGCAGTCTGGATGCGGGCCGTCACAGACCACACCAGGGATTATAACTCTGTTAGCTCACTCTGTCTCCCTTCCCAGAGCACTCTCTCATAAATGAAAGAGACGAAAGAGACGCACTGTAATACTGGCTGAAATAGGCAATGCTGCCGTCTTCTTAAGTTAATGTTATTACCCAGGCCCTCAGTGGCCTCGGCCTCTGTTTGCTCTCGACGTCAAGGGTTTTATGGGAGAAGCGTTTCTATCTCGGCCAGGCTTTGAATGCAGAACTCTGTCATCCCACAGTGAAATGGATGCTTTTATAAATGGCGGCAAAATCCCATGAGCTCCAAAGGTGGAGCC